ACCAAACAGGGTAATAATTTAATTTGCTAAGCAACTTTAATAACATACTGAACATTAGGATTCCTTTTAAATTGAAGATAAGACACGAGATCCTGCTGCTGCAAGATCCATGCTGTGATATCAGATACCTCGGTAGCCTTTGAAATCAATTTGGCATCTGCAGGAGCAGGTGTATCAAGCACAGCTGCATCCTTAGGAAGAGCATAAAATAAGAGCTTATCTCCAGCCAACAGCTTAAAGGACTGGAAATACTGAGTCATCTCGTACGTATCTTTTCCCACTTCTCTTGTAGCCCTTACATCAGCCCACTTGGTAGGCTGACCCTTAGTACTTCTCGCAACAAATCCATTATAATTATTACTTGACCAAAGGAAAAGCGGGAAATTAGCAGTTGGGATAGTGAACGTAGCCGTGGAAGTGTCAGTTTCTTTGACCAATTTCTTGGCTGCATTGATCTGTTTGGTGAGATCCAATTTCATGTCATGCGCAATCGTCGTCAGCTGATCGCTAGAATAGTTACTGTTTGCTAAGATTTGTTCCACGCTCCATTCTACATAATACGTATTATTATTAAGTATTTTAAAACTAAATTTTGGTTATACAAAAAAGCAAAAAAGTTAAAAATATGAAAGGTCAAAATCGTACCGGGATGTTCAAATACAATGGTGCCAAGTCTTCCAATTTGGACGTCAAGTGAGGAGAGCTGCAAAAGGTCCATAATCTGTTGATCATTTTTTCCTTCTTCAACGTGAGTAAACATTAGGTATGTGCGGATAAAGTTTTTGTCCTTGTTCTGATATTTGGCAATAATGTCGACACTTAAGCCATCATTAACCATTTCCCTAACTCCTTGTTGGAAGTCACGAATACCAATAAACAATTTTTCGCACTACAAAGCAGAATAATAAATTTGAGCGGATGATTAATTTAGCGTTAACACAGCAAAATTTAAAATTTGGGTATTGAAAAATTACCTCCAACATTGCGGCACGAATCTTCACATAAACGTCCTCCCTATCCAAATCAGTACTCTTTTCACGATCTGGATAAACCGTTCCTTGTGGCATCAGATGCGATAGATTGGTAAAGAAGTCCGTCTGTATATAATGTGTATATTGTTAAGGAGACAAATATAGGAACGATGTAATCGACAGCAAAATTAAGTTTACCTTAATAACAAAACTATTGATTACTTCAATCAAATGATCCTCCTCTGTATCTAACGCAGCCGCATAATTATCAATCTCAGTACGTCCATTCTGCGCTCTAGCAATTAGATCCCTCAACTGATCCCTCGCCTTCGATGCGTCTACAAGACCGCTAATTACGTCTGCAAAAAATTAAACAAACTTAGTAAAATCAAAAGTTTCCGGACAATTCAGCTGCTCAGAAACATACCCGTGACGAAAGCCAGGACTGCCATCACAGCCACAGCTTTTCCGAGCGTGATAGATCTATAAAGCACCTTGTCGCTCGGATACTTGAATAGCGAGAAAGTAAGAGAGCTCGATATGGTGTGGACTGACAAGTTCACAACTTGCATAGCAAGAGGAGATTGAGGGTTATATTTCAGAGAACTGCTTTTCACAAATTTTGCTAGCTGTATCTTCTTGGGATCAGCACGGACCATAGCATTCAAGATGTTATTGTATGAATCAACGATTGACTATGTTGATCCAAGAAACGCAAGTATATAATTAGAAAATAGATAAAAAAAAGTATTCATACTTAGTATTATTAGCATTATTACCGTATAGTGGTGATAAATGGTATTATATGATCCGGAAAACTCATTCTCAGCATTTGTCCGTTTTTCCTCAATTTCGTCGACCAATTGTTGAAGCTGCTTTGAAAGCTCATCATTTCCGAACATTCGATCCCAAATACTCATTTTCGCTAAATGTCAGTTTATGAAAAGTTATGTGTAAAAAAATAGGTAGAAACTGAAGACCTGCCGTCAGTAGCGAAAGATGTAGGTCTTATTTATAAACCCAACAGGTCACACAACTTGACAAGTCGTGCATCCGACAAAAGTCGCATATCCGACACAGCCGCATCTCTTTATGGCGAGAACAACAAATCAACAGGTTTCTGCACAAAA